ATGCCAAGTCGAAAGTTCCACGAGGAAGCTCTGGTGTGATGTTGGGTGAAGTGTTGCGACATGTGAGCCCTGCCACTATGTCCTTCAGATCATCGTAGCTCAGATCTTCGCCAACTAGCGCCATGAGCAAGAAGATTGAGAGGACACGAGATACTCCAACACAGAAGACTACCCAGAGCAGTTCGTGGAAGACAAGTGAAGATTTCAGACAAATGCACTTTTTACCCCTTCAAAATTTTGTATGCAGTCAATCAGAGCAGCTCATGGAAGACAGTTTAAGTATTTCAAACAGATGCCTGGTTTTAAACATTAAATTTCACGGACAGTCAATACTATATGTTAAAAAATAAAGCAAAGCTGAGCATTTATTCATTGAAGACACGCTGTAATAGAATAAAATCTCATAGAATAGACAGCAGCACTGTGAGCGTATGCATTTCATGTGGAAAAGTTTCTCTACTGGACCACTGGACACCTAAAAATAGCTGATTTTACTGGAGAATACACACGCTCACAGCGCTGCAGTTTTAAGATGCAGAAAAATGATAAACAAAGGTGAGCAAAATGCATTGAAGGTTCAAAGGAGCTTGGAATTCAGATGTGTTCAAAGGTTCTTGCCGTGAAGATTGATTGCAAGAAGTTGGTGATAAAGAGGACTGGGATGTAGAGAAGTTCCCAAATTAGAAGAGGTTCAAAAGCTTCGAAGGAACTTGGGGCGCAAAACGGTTTATGATGGATAAGGATTCGAAAAACTCTCGGGCGAGGAAGGCTTGCGGTTGGCTCAGCGGCTTTTGCAATGCAGAAATGCTCGAAACAAGTCTGGGACGTGTGGGCTTTAAGGTTCAACTGAATGCGAAAGCAAGTTCAAAACCCTTTGGTGTGAAGACTGGTTTTGATAACGTTGACATAAAGAGGACTGTAATGCAGAGATCTTGACACACATTTGCAGAAAGTACATTTCAAAAAGTCTTATGAAATTTTGGAAGACATTCGCTGAGAAAGGAAAATGTGTGAAACAAGACTTCTGGAATCAGGATTTGACACCATGCATTTGATATACAAGAGACGATTTGCCAATTGAGAAGAACAACTGTGCAAAGGAAGTTTGAAGAAAACAAGGCTTACAAACTGATATACATATATATATTAATGGTTTGCGGTCCTTACGCACTGCGCTATATATAAGAAACATGTTAGTTTAGTAAAGTCCTGATCCTTGTTGTATGTTGCGGTGACCTCTGTGAGCCAAATGGGTCATTGAATCTCTTTGTGTAATTTGGCCAACTGTGTTTCAATGTTCCTTGTGGTGTGCATGTGCGTGTGTCTTGGTTTTCCATGGTGTGTCATTATTGATTGGGTCGACATTTGTGTTCTTCTGCATCTCATGGAGGAGGCTGCCGTGGGTGGAAGGGGTTACTTAAGAGTTCTTTCCATTCTTGCGCGTTTCGGCGTTTCTTGTGGTTGTCAATGTTTCTACGTGTGGCTCCACAATGTTCTACGCAATGGCTGTTGTTTGTTATTGTTTTACTTCAACTTCTCGTTTTGTGTTGCACCGTGCATCTTTAAATCTATTCCTCATTATATGATGCTCTTTCAACCAACGTCTTCAAATATAACAAAGTAAAAACTCCAAATACCGGCAGGTCCAATATCAGGTGCAAATCAGCCAGACACCGATCAAATAGGTGTCTACAATTATGTTGCATATGGTGTTGAACAAAAATATGGAGACAACGCTAACTAGAAACGCTAATTAGAAAGTGATTCAGAAACAATGATTCAAAAGTAGTATTAAACCAAAGTTGGTTGATAAAATATCATTTGTCAAATATGTCTATGCGTGTTTTGGTGTCAAGATGAACCACAGTTTCAGAAACAGTTTCAGATCAGAATCAATTGCATAAAACTAAGCGCAGGAATTACCATTAGTTTACGTTTGGTTCCCCATGTCGCGCAACGTTTATCTTGCAAGTTTGCTTTGCGCCTTTGGTTTGGGGCTCCGTTTTTGGTGCGCTGCCTACCAAACCTTTTTCAAGTTTGCTTTTGGTTTGATGCTCCCAGAAAACCAACCAAAAACATAAATTATACTGTACAAAATAATCACTTAACATAAAATTGAAAATCTTAATAAAGTAATCTAGGTTACCCAACAGACTCACTGATCTGGCCCGCTTCCTGATCTGGACCCTGTTTCGAACCTGCTGATAAGCGTCTCACTTTTCCAACTCCTCTCTTTGTCACAAGCTGGCGCGCACTCGATGAGTCTGCGAAGATGCAATGGTCCACCTGTGTCCCAAGAGCAAAGTCCAGAACTGCCCGAATATAGATTCCATCTGATACTGAAAAAACTTTTTCATGTAGTTCTGCTTCACATGAACATAAGCTAATGATCTTCTGTGTCCTGCTGCTGTTGAACAATGGGCAACTATTCAATGCGTGAACCCTCCTGCAGTTGACTTTCTGTGGCTTTTGTTCCCACTCCAGTCTGAATCTGAGAATGTCTCCAAGCACCAACAGCTTTCCCCTTTCTTCACATAACCTTCTCCTCCTTGTGGAAATTCAAGCTTCTTGTATCCTGATGCAAAGAATCCCATATCCTCGGCGGCGCTGGCTCATAGCTGAAGATTGCGATTGAAGGAATGACTGCGTCATCATAAAAGAACTCCTCAAGTTCCTCCTTTTTCATCATACTTTCACAAGAGTCGGACATTAACCATCTACTCATCAAAGCGGTCCTCGTCAGCTCTGGTGATTCATCTACTCCTGGAATGACTGTGGGATCCACAAATCTTGAAAGCTTCAGGTACTTGCACCTCCAAGCAGCTCTCATCTTCATCTCCAATGACTCTAATACGGCCTTGAACTGTCGAAGAGCGGTTTTCTAGGTTAAGTGGTACCTTCAACTCACCATTCTCCAACATGTGCTCTCTGCGGTTGATTCCCCAACCATGTTCCATCAACCTTCCATAACAAAGTATGGGTTGATTTACCTTTGAACTGAAGATCGCATTCTCTTCTCATCCATCAAGGTCCTGCAAGGAAATTCCAACACTTTTCGCACCTCCTGTGGGGATACGGTTTCCTTGCGCATCTTGTAACTTGGTGTTTGCGCTGACAAGAAATTCTCCTTTCCCCATTATCTGCAATACTCAAAGGGAATAATGCTACATCAGCTCCACTCTCAACAATGATGCCCACATCCTCATTCTCCCCCAAGTCTCCTCAACACGGGTTCATCATCTGAGATTGAGATTGACATCTCCTCGACTTCCTGCATCTCTGGCTCATCATCGTCTCCAATATAGAAGTGAAATACGCGAATTCTTTGGTCTTCTAGCTCGTCATCTCTTTGTCTCAAGTCAAAGATGACTGGCTCACTATTCTCAATTCTCCTGACCACTGGGTTGGTCTCTGCTGAGCTACCTCCTTGGCTCACATTGGCATGCTGCTGGCCAACTGTCTGAGTCGTCACTGATGCTCCTCCTGAAGATGAATGGGCTTGATCACCTGCTACCTGTCGAATATGGAGTTTTTAGCACGATGTCCTGGTTTTCCACGAGTGTAACATGTTGTCCCGGTTTTCCACGAGTGTAACATGTTGCCACACCTTTGCCTTTTTGGTCTTTGCCTTTACCTTTGCCCTTGTGATCATCTTCTTTTCCTTCCGGATCTCACTTTCCTTTCTTTCCTTTGCCCTTAGCATCTTTACCTTTGCCTTTCTGATTGCCATTCTTGCCCTCCTTACCTTTTCCTTTGGCATCTTGGACTCGATCAATGTCCATTGGTATAGGCCCTTAATAGTCTGTACTGCTACTAGCCACCATGGAAGTATCAAAGTTGAATATTGGGCATTGTCGCCAATTGTCAAGTTCAAGTATGACTTGAGTTGTCCACCTACACATCTCAAAAGATTGGCAAATCTCAGCTCTTGCTGAATTGTAGTCCTTGACTTGGCTGTCTCATCAAATACTTCTTCGAGCTTCAAGAGTCGAGGTTGTAGTACACTGTTCATTGAAAACGCTGGCCATGCAGTGGCTTTTGAAGGGTGCTAAGCCTCTCGGCTTTGAGGTTTGTTTCAAAGCTTTATTCAGGCTCCTCCAGGCATCAAACACATTGGAGTCTTCCACAGCTTTCATCAATTGCAGCGCTCTTCCTCTCATCAATGAAGCTAACAAGCCATAAAGCTTGATGCACCTGGTCTTCTCTGCCTCAGTTGCCAAGTCCCAGTCAAACTTCTCACTTGGCTTCTCATGAGTCTCTTTCAAGTCCTTCATGTAGCCCTCATCAATTGGGCTCAAATACTTCTCCAAGACCCATGAACACTTTCTGCCTGCCTTGATCTCTTCTTCTTGCGACTTATGGTCAAAGGTGTTGGGCTGTGCTATCAATTTTGACCTATCTGTTGTTGATGACTTCTTATCTTCAACTGCCTTCTTCACTGCCTCAGCTGCTCATGTCGTTGCCAGCGTTCTCTGTGCTATAGTTTGAAGGATTTCTCTGACTTCCTCCATCTCTTCTTTGTACTAATGTCTCTTGGGCACAATGTACTGAGTAGTAGAGCGTCGCTCACAACAATTCTTCACCAGTCCAGTCCAGCTGTTTGGGTTCCAAAGGCCCCAAATCTATGGCACTAAATCGCACCCGGCGGGATCCCAGTGACCTAGGGGCTTTTCTCTGGAGCTCAAAGGGGGTTACCCTTATCCTTCCTCCGCTACCATACGCACTTTTTCTTGATACTCAAAGGGGGTGCGCAGTGTTTGTCATGCATTCTTCATGATGCTTGTGATGCTATATACATGAGTATGAAAAAAGAATTGTTCGCAAATATATGCGAACATTTGATATGTTGGGACCCATATATATATATATATACATATATATACTGAAGAAATCCGGGTTTTCGCGCTTCTTTAACATACATTCAAAAACTGAGCAAACCTATACTGGGCGATCTGCAACTCAACTTCCGATATCATACTCTCTGCACTGGAGGTCTGTACCTTGAGGCTCTCATTCTCGACAGCGACGCCCTGCCGCTTGCTATTTGCTTCAAACGCTGACAGTGCGATGACTGTAACCTCAGCCTTTCCCGGAACGTTTTTATCAAGTCCCTTCGAGTCAAGGAAAAAATGCGTTTCGGAATACACCGATTCGACTCTAAAATGACTAGAGCCAAAAGCCCTGCTCATCAATGCATCGGCTCGCACCTTCACTGCACTCAGCAGCTGCAGCTCCAAGTCACGGTCGTCTTCACAAATGATTTCCTCCTTGGATGCTCGCCGATGTCCTTCCAGTATCTCAAGTCCCAAAATATAGTGGACTTGTCAAAACTCATAGGTGTTGCTTCCTCACCAAACCTGATCGGAACTAGTGTAGGGGTCAGTTGTGCCTTTCGTGACCCCCCGAGAAGAGCATGAATCAAATTCACAAATGTTGTCACTATCCACAGGCTCAGGCAATGAAAGGGAGTCAGAAATTCGGCACTCAGGCTCATGCTGCTGACCTACCAACAGCCTCCCGCACTTCTGACAGTGTGTGCAACTCAGACCATGTCAGCTCAAACGGCTGTATGTATCGCTGATGTGCTTTTAGGATGGTACTCACGGTATCCATCTTAGTCAGCCCAGGTAGTTGATCTTGCTTCTTCCCAAAATTTGGGAGATGCATCTGTCAACGGACACCTGAGACTTGTGGAAGACTATGACTAGGATTGGCATTGCAGTATATGAAGGCTTAATGGGAACCGGGTTCGCAAAATGGATGGCAGCAAGCAAATCGTATATTTTTTGAAAGTGACGTTCACAAAATGATCAAAGAACATCAGACAATTTGACCGGTTAGTGCAAATGTTTCGTTGAACGTTTAGGGCCTGCCTCCACTGCTTCTACAAGACTCTGACGTTCCGAGGTCAAGCGCTGGCGCTCAGCGCGCAAGCTGTCCGTCTGGGCAGGCTCCAAGCAACATATATATATATATATTTAAATCACATTGCCCATGAAATGTGCTAAAAAGCCTTCAGGGACAGAACTCAAGAGCCAGGGCTCCCTAAGAAGTACAATAGACCTCGGTACAACTTGAAATGTAGGAGCGTTATCCTTTTCAGCATTTCAAACCGCATCTTGACACATGTTTCCCTTACCCACCAATCAATTCTGCCGCACAAAACAAAAGGCAAATTGACAAGCTGTTATTCTTCAAACTGCGCTTCAGGGTTTTGCAAGGTTGTTAAAGAGTCGAATAATTTCATCCTGGAAACCACATTTGCACCCCAGCAGGGCGAAAAGAAGAGTTTCAGTCTTGGAAGCAAACCTTCAGAGTTTTAGCAATCACAGAGGTGCAAAGGCTATCTGCTCGTACTTTAGTGTCCCAATTTGGGGTGCTTGGGTGGGCCCCACAGTGATTGAACACTTTGGGCCAAGCATGGATGCAGATGTCACTCTTGAAGATTTGTCACATCTTGCAAGATGTGTTTGCTTACCCTGGACCCTTGCCTGATTCCACCCGATGATGTTGCTGCAACGAAACCATTCTATTTTAGCTGCAAGCCTATTATCACCCTCACCGAGCTGGCGCCAATTCAAACTCCGCTTTGCACGCACCCGGGTCCGGTTGCCTCAGTGAGGAGTGGCCGCAAGCGAGTAAGCGCATCTTCGAAATCGTCCACCTCCAGCCACAGAGCTATCAACATTCCGCTGTTACTCGAGCGATCCCTGTAGAGTTGATTTATTCTTGCGCACAGACACGTGAAGGATCAGCTCTTCCATGTACAGCACCCAAACTCACGAGTATCCAACAACCAACTAAGCAAATACTGCAGACAATCTTGACATAAGAAAGCAAGACTCTATATCTACAAAAATCATGTCTCGGAAGTGCTCATGCTACGTTACTTGCTGGGCCTCCTCTCTATGAAGGCCTTGTTCAGCTCCTCACCACGTGATAGACTTGTTGTTTCAGCTGTATCACCGTTAGCCGCAGCTTCCGAAAGGCCAGAAGTGGTGCGGAGGTTCGCGGGCTGCAAATTGCTTTGGGTGTTTTGGGGCATCAGAGGGGAGAGAAGCCTCAAATCTTGTGATGCCATTGCAAGGACAAAGAATATATATATACATGATATGTAGTTACGTGCGTGGTTTTGGTGTATTTCAAGAAGACAACCCCAATAATGAAGCTAGAACTGGCTTTAAGTTCATCAATTGCCTTAATTTTGGCTAATTTTCACAAATGCCTTAAAGAAAACAATAAGTGTGAGGAAACAACTGTGCTGAGGATCTTGCTAAGCTGCTCTCTCTCAGCGTTGAGAGCATCCACCTGTGCAAATGCTTCAAACATGCTGAATCATCAAAATGTTCGCGGTTTTTTGCTGCTGCAAAATATTGCTTGGAGTTTTGCACTGTCTGGCAATGCGTCCAGTTGCATTTGTGTGTGTGCACGTGCTCGCTGTACCTATCTCCACTCTGCACTGCCCTCCTTTGCCTTCGATGCCATGCTTAAACATGTTTGCCTAATATAACACCATAACTTTGTATAACCCTATGCCTTACAGGCCTTGTGCGCCTTGTGCATCTTCCGATACTTCCCAAAAGGCATCTGCACCGGACCTCTAGCAGCGCTTCCAACAGCCTGTCCAAGTCAGGATCCTGATCATCAGCAGCTTGCCTCGATGCCCATGCCACAAATTGTACCCAAAATGTAATTACATTAGGTATCAAACCATTGTATGTAGCCAAACAAAAGGTCTTGAACTCATTGACACATTCTGCCCAGGCTTGAGGCTGCGCCACGGTAAGGCGCGCATGTTCCAAGATCAGCTCCTGGCATGGAGAAGGCAGAGGTTGAGGTAAAACGGAAAGGTTCTTCAAGGAAACATAAGCCCTGATTACAGCAACGGTTCCAATTTGAACAGTTAAAGCCAAACATGAGATCAACTAAGACAGGAAGGAAAAAGATAGATCTAAAGAGTTAAAGAACAGAAAATAGCCTAGGCTAAGAATAGGATAGAAAGATGACCCAAAGTCTAGCGGGTTTAGAAAGAAATGACAGCCTACGTCCAAGGTCTTCTAAAGAAAAAGAAAGGACGGAGGATCTCAGAGCCCCTTCTTTTCATTTCGACTCCCTTTGAAGGAGGCCCGAGTTACCTTCCTTTTGTTCCTGTTGTAACATGAAATTGCTTCCACGAGCGAAGGCTTTACAGGCTTCGCAGGCTTCTCCTCCCGCTCACGAAGGAGAGAACCACCCTCAGACATGAGGGCAACCTTAACAGCGCTTAGCTGAACTCCAGCTACGAGTATAGCTGGAACTCAAGAATTGAAGAATTGAGGATCCGAAAAGACAAGTGTCATGCAGTTGTTGGGATTGAGGTTCCAAATTGTTGGATCATCTTGATCAAGCGTTCAATTTTGCTCAGGGTCCAGCCAGAGCATCAGCCACACCAGTGATGCCTGTGCCAAGTAGTCACGTCAGAACTCCAGCAAGAATCTGACTTGAGATCTTGAGGAAGTCTACGATAAGAAGAAACTTAGCCGGCAATGACCTCTGGTGCAAGGATATCCTTGCCTCCGTCATTGAGGCCTGGCCTTGTCCAAAGATGTTAACATCGCAGAGAAGCTTAAGCACTGTGGCTTCTTGAGCGACTTAAATACAGTATGTAGGAGGAGGCGACTTAAGCACTGTGGCTTCTTGAGATGTCCCAGTCTTGCAAGCAAGTACTATAAGGCCTATCGAAACATTGAAACGCTGTCAGTCACGGAGAAGACTGTGGCATTGAATGTAGCAATGTATACGCTTTCCGTTCTACCGAGGATGTTCGACTAACTAACTTCTGCGAGAGCTGGGGCCCATGCAACTCCACCCCCATAGCATCTAGGAGCTCACGCAGCTTCACGTTCTGGCAAGCAATCATGCTTAATGTTGCACCAAATGCTGCTGTGAAACCCTTTACGATTGTGAGCAAGCTGCTTGCCTTATCAAGTTTGGAAATGATTGGAAGAATGACAGACTTGTAGCCCTGTAGGCAGTTTGCAAAACCGCAAAGCTGCTTGTCTCGTTCTTCAGTCGTCGTTTGCCACCGGCGCCTCAGTCCGGAGTCGCTGAACCTGCTCATTGAGGCTCTCGGCCTTGGAGTGCCAAAGTGGTCCGAAGTGCTTTCGAAAAGAAAAATGGGAACTCAAATGTCAAAATGCTAAATGATTATATACACAACGCCGTAAAATGCCAGAAACCGATCAAATCAACACTACTTACAAGAGATTCAGGGATGGAGGTATGAATGCCAAGCTAGATTCACCATGAGCAAGCAAAATCATGGCCCGATTCACTCCAATGTCCAAGGTTTGCAGGTACTAAGATGCCAGCTGTTTCATCTGCACCTCATGGTGTCTTCGATAAGTTCACTCTTTCCTATTCCAGAGATCTTGCATCTTGTTGACAGTGTTGCTGTCATCCCAAATGAAAGTTTGATTGATGCAAGGTAACGGAAACAGCATTGTACGGTTGTCAGAGCGAATCGGTGAAAGGGTTGGGTAGGCAACGAAGCTTCATGTATATAAACTTGTCAGCAAACAACAAACATAAAAGCCACTCGCGAAACCTGCCCCCATCGCACGGGCCGCCTGAGTCACATATACAAGTTGACTCCATGACAATCATTGTTGAAAGTTGAAACCATGTTTGGCCACACTTCTGAACAATCACTGAAATGAAGCTATTCGAGTTCGTCACAACAAGTACTTCCAAGCTTATCTTCAAAAAGGAGGGCATTGGAATAGATTGACTCACCAATGCGAAGCACGTATTACAGAAAAGAATGGTAACCAAGCAGGAAGCACCAACAAAAACAAACTCACAACATAAGGTAATCCGCAAATGGAGCATGCATCTACATATGCACATGTTGGAGGCACAGGGTACAGTTTCCACAACAATCAAATGTAAATACATTAAATCCACAGGCATCTTGAGGTCCTGGCACCAAACAGGAACGATACCCAGTGGATTCACTCAGCCCGCCCCTTGCCCAGCTTTACTGTGGCTGCATAGAGCTGCATGCAAAAATGTAAGGATCAAAACGTGAACATTTGTAGTGAAAATGAAGTGATGAAGGATGCTGCGCTGCCCAATGACTGGTTGCCGACCCTAGAAAGCTACAACACATCCTGATACAGTTTTCAAGGACATGTTCCGAGGAAGGGATCTGCAGCAGGATGTGAGCAATGGGTCGCACTGAGATGAAAAGCCATATGCTCAGGTAGCTGAAGTTGAAGACGCGTAGTGTTCCGCAAGCATAGGCACCTGCGCAGGAAGCAATTCAGAACCACGTGTTTCATCGATGTGTTTTATTATGGTTTGACTTCGCTGGGGTTGCCAAAAACCCTTGCTTCAAAAAGAACAAGCCGCCCGTTCCAGCAACAAGTTTGTTGTTAACCCATTTCTGAGAAGCACGAGCCAAGGTTACGTTACATTATGACATAGAACCCTGCTCTAATGTACCAGCATAGTCCATTGCAACATGTTGCTTCCCTCAAGTTTTGAAGCCCAAGGCTGAAAAACAATTTTGGGGTGGTCAAAATAATTAGTTTGGGCTTATATGCGGGGCTTCAATTTCATGTTGGAATCTTGTCGAGGAAGAAGGTCCGCAAACCAATCCTCTGTAAGACTGGCGCGGCTCCAAATCCATTCCAGGGTCCACTGCCTTCGGTCAGCACAAAGTAGGAAACCCGGCTTGGGAACCAGTCTCATGCCCCCACATCTCTTCACAAGGCCATGCAACACCTTCCACCCACCGCATCCCAGCATGGCCAACTTGTCCCTAGAACCATTCGTCAGCGACACCAAGTAAATGGTCTGTGACTTAAGCCTTCCAACTCTGACGCACTGCAGGAACATCCTTCAACTCTTGGAGATGTTCACACATGTTCTGCATGGTGACCCTGCACGCATAACAATTCTTGACCGGACGCTTTCGACAGGATCTTGCTTCCGCTGACGAGCCTGCACTTTCTGTGGTGGGCAGGAACCCAGTCTTCTTGGTTGAGAATTTGCTGAAAAGCAGCGTTTCCACCTGCCAGCTGAAACGGAAAAGCATCTGCGCACGTGGTTGAAACTGGCGCCTTCCAATTTGCCAATTTGTGTCAATTTGAAAGTCTGCTGGCATGTAGGTGGGGAGCAAAGCACAACTCAGCTCGTTCCCAGCTTTGCAGGTCTCCACTTCCACATTAAAACGCATTGTCCGCAGCCGCGGCCGCTGAGACGTCCATGCCCGGAACCCACTTCACACCGGTTTCTTCCAGCAAACCTCAACGACAGCAAAGCCAGTACGATCTAAGCCCGCCAGAGTGGCAAAGCAACCCAAAATGAGGGAGTACACCCTGGCGGTCTCGTTTCGATCAGACACGTGGCGCTTCATCTCTCTGCCCGTAACACCCAACGTGGCCTACTCGAAAGCCATTCTTCTCACAGATTGCCCATTTTGCAACAATCCTTCCCCTTCCCCTACCAAGTGGTGAGGCCTGCCTTTGCATGAAAATGTGTCTGTGGTCCACATGGTTGTAACAGTTGTAGAAGTCCACCACATTCTGCGCACCCGCCAAGTCCGCAAACCCAAACAAAAAATGGGCTGCATCACCCTCCTCTCAACCAATAACCTGGACCCATGGCCGTCGCGGTGTTTGATGTGCACCACCATCAAAGTACCGCTGCCCTGTTCTAATCTGCAAGTGCTACCCCCCTCTGCACGCGCATCTGCTCGCCGGCATTTTCCTCAATCTGTTTGGTGAACTGTTGAATTGATCACGCGTTGGCGTCAATCCAATGCCCTTCACGGCGTCAAGAGTTTTTTCCTCCGTCAACTCCGGATTCTCAGTGTCCTCCTCCAGTGCTTGTCAACTTCAAGGAACTGGCTGTACAGGGCGATGCTCGTTCGACTCCCTGTGGGCCTGCTCAATCTTCAACTGGATATCTTTGCGACCTGAAGGAGTGCCGTGCACTGCGACTGACAATATCCACCTTGGCTTGCAGCACCACCTTTTTCTCCGCCAGCTGCTTCAAGTTTCGTGGCAATGGTGGGCTCCGATTTAGCCAATGTTGCTGTCTCGAGCTTTCCTGGCAAACTAGCCAAAGTCTGAGGCTGTTCCGCTGGAATACCCATGGCCCCACACTGCCTGCGGACTGCTTCAGGAAGCTGCTTCCAGTTGCCTTGCAAAGTCTTCTGAAGGTCGGCATGAAGGCCCTTTGTTCCCCTCCGTGCAACCCCGGCAGGGGCTACAGCAAAGCCTCCCGAAAGGTCCACGCCGGCCAAGTCTCACCAGCTTGGTGAAAGTTCCAACCCGCCCAGTGAAGACACGTCAGGTGTGGTCGACCAATGAGCCTGTCTTTCCAAGTCCATCCGGCTTGCAACTCCCACCAGATATTGCTTTAAAGCATGGTCCTGAAGTCGAAGTCATCCTCAAAGGATCACTAGCAAAGTCGATTTGACCCTTCAGATAGTGCCTCGTGAAACTCGGTGGCGGTGACGCCCAGGATGATGTCAGAGCAACTGTGGTGAAAGCTCGCTGCTGCAACAGCCAGATTTTATTATGGGCAACAGCCAGATTTTTATTAGGGACTGGCTTGAGCACTCACAGCTTGAGCAACGAGCCTGGTGACAGTAGATACTTCTACGTCAAGCTATACAAATCTATACAATACAGTGGCAGTACGGGCTGCTGCAAAAGGGTCATGTCCCCGCATTGGCGCCGAGCACAGTCCGTGGTCGCTGAATCTATCTAACAGAGCAACGCAAAAAGACAAACACGTTCGTGCAACACCGTTCTCGAGGAGCACCGCTCAGTGAACGATTGAAGGACCGCACAGGTGATGTTCACTGATATTGCAACAAGGCCAAGCTTTTTGTGAAGACCAACACCGGTTAAGCTATAATGGATTCTCAAGCTGTGTTTCAGAAGTGGAATGGCTCAGCATCGAGAAGTTTCAAGTCCTCAATGGCGCTAAACGCATCGGACCATATCAAACACACGCAATGCAAAGGTGCCTTCCTTGCCAAGTGCAGCCAGTGGTTCAAGCACTTTCAAGAACTAATAACTCAATAACTTTGCCAAACCGATCAACAAACAGAATGGTTGGCCCTAACCATGCTGTCACTTAGTTCTATAGTATGGTACAAGTAGTACTCTTCTGGAGAATTCGAGCATGTCCTCTGTCAAAGGCTTTGTATCATGCAACCCTGAACGGCATGATCTATTGCGCCTCAAGAAAAACACGTGCATTTCGTACAAGCAGAATCGGTGGCAGGCACTGGCAACTAGTTTAAAGTTTAAAGGAGCCATGCCCAGTGAATGACTGAAGGACCACAGGGGTGATAATGATTTGATTGCAACAACAGCAAGCTCTTTGCAACGCTCTCAAGCTGTGTTTCAGAAGTGGAATGGCTCAGCATCGAGAAGTTTCAAGTCCTCATTGGTGCTAAACGCATCGGACCATATCAAACACACGCAATGCAAAGGTGTCTTCCTTGCCAAGTGCAGCCAGTGGTTCAAGCACTTTCAAATAACTCAATAACTTTGCCAAACCGATCAACAAACAGAATGGTTGGCCCTAACCATGCTGTCACTTAGTTCTATAGTACGGTACAAGTAGTACTCTTCTGGAGAATTCGAGCCTGTCCTCTGTCAAAGGCTTTGTAGCATGCAACCCTGAACGGCATGATCTATTGCGCCTCAAGAAAACCACTTGCATTTCGTACAAGCAGAATCGGTGGCAGGCACTGGCAACTAGTTTAAAGTTTAAAGGAGCCATGCCCAGTGAATGACTGAAGGACCACAGGGGTGATAATGATTTGATTGCAACAACAGCAAGCTCTTTGCAACGCTCTCAAGCTGTGTTTCAGAAGTGGAATGGCTCAGCATCGAGAAGTTTCAAGTCCTCATTGGTGCTAAACGCATCGGACCATATCAAACACACACGCAATGTAAAGGTGTCGTCCTTGCCAACGGCATGATTCTCTCAACCACAACTCCTTCCACCAACACAAGCAGCTAAATTTGATGCTGCAACAATCCAAGTCTGGACAAGCGACAAAGGATGGCAACATTGAAAACATGTGAGGAAATATATTTCTGTACTACTTGTTCTGTAATTATTGTTATATATAATATACTATATGACTATATTCCTACGAATAAAATGTCAAAGGTACCATAAAGTGGATCACAGAGGTGACTCTTACCAATATATATATATATCATACATTGTCAAAAAAAGAGGTGAGGCGGGAGAATTGCAGCAACAAAGGAGAATGGGAGAGGGGGCGATGAGTGGAAAGGAGCAAAGAACCCGTGAACTAAGTGTAGTGAAGGATGAGCGATTCAGGCAAAGGCAGTCATCCATTACATGAGTGAACTGCCATCGAGTGTTAAAGCAAGCAGGCTCAGCTGGCTCGGGCAGGGCAAGCTGTTGGAAAGAAAACCCGTCCCCACAATGATACTTTGCCCCCCTCTGGTCTTTCCACAATAACAGGCAAGCCATCTTTTCTAGCGTGGATTCACGATGGGTGTTTTCAATTGATCTCCGGAGATTTAACTCTCACTTTGCAAGCGGTCCCACAGGATGTCCAGACCTTGGACAAGTCTCTATTTGCAGAATGGTTGAAACACCTTAAACCATCCTTGAATACGAAATTCTCACAAAACCTCTCTTCAAAAACGTCCTCTTGTCGATTGTAAAATCCATTGGTTCTGCGAGGTGCGCTGCCCAGCCGTTGAAGCCATCATCCTCAGCCCATTAAAAGGGGCAGCCACTCTAAGGCTACCATTATGCCACTAGTAGCGATGCACTTGTTACTAGTAGCTTCTTGCTACTAGTAGCGATGCCCTTGTTCCTAGTAGCGATGCCCTTGTTATTAGTAGCTTCTTGCTACTAGCATTAAAACAAAAGGTTCACGTTTCCCTAGAAAGCTTCAAGTTTCAAGTAAAGGCTCCATAGCTACCGGGTACGGTACTTTGGTGCTTTGAGTCTTTTGCCAGCCAACTGTAATTATATAATTGCATCCGCTAAATCTGGCTGCTCAAACATCTGGGCCTCAAACAAGCTCCTGGACGTTCAGGTATCCAGCCTCAAAACACGGCAACAAGAGCATTGTTGAACTCCAGTGTCGACATCATCTTTCTCTCATCTGTTCAAGACAGAAACCTGCGCAATGACTCATTTGGGCGCTGGCCGCTTCCAAAACCCGAGCGGCAGCCTTCGTGTCAAAACAATCAGCTTCCCACACGAATACTACTAATACTAACACTAATACTAATACTTCCTAACAAATTCCCCAATGGTTGTGATCATGCATTTACTGCTGATTAGGCTCAGCAAGGTTGTGGAAGTCAGAGCATATCACCTCGCCTTTCCTATCTTCCATCAGCACAACAGCATATTGGAGGCCCAATCTTATCTCAACTGTACCTAAAGTCCTATTCCAGCTCTCCTGGATACTCCTTCAAAGCCCAACTATATACGAGCATGCCAGCGCCAGCGCAATAGAGACTCACGAATGGTATATAACACAAACCTTCAAGTGAGGAATACTGCATACCATGTTGCCGCGGTCGGATAGTTGCATTCTGAGCCCACCTGAAGCCCAGACAAAAAAAGGAAATAGCGTGTCTGCCTTTGATCTAACACCAGCTGCACAGCCAATCACAATCCTCGGCTGTCCAAGAGGTCTAAGTCTGCCAACAACAATCTGCCGGTCTGCCTTCGGATTGTGAAAATAGTTTCTATTGCTGTCTTAAGTTAAGACCATCCATTTGCTAAAATGGAGCAAGTACTTTAATGCAGTTGTCGGCTTTGACAATCTTTGCAGCTGCAAGGCTATTGCCCATAGTATTTTTCGCTGCACCTGAACAGTCTGGCCAAGAAACTTGGCTTCCTTGTCGGGTATCTTCTGTTGCACATCTTCGAGCCATGCCTGACATGTCCGGATCAGGACACGCCACATGCAAACGAGCTTCTCCTGTGAACAGAAGCTCTTTCCCACGTTTGACGTCCAAAGCTCTTGTTTTGAGCCCAAAGCCAAGCCTCGCTGTCAAAGACCATTCCTGCCAAGAACACAGGGAGAACTGGCAAAATCGCTCTTAAAGATTACAGGAAGTTAGTAAATTGCCACTGCACGGGTATATTAATACACAAGGTTGAGTGCCAGGTCCAAAAGAGAAACCATCACAAATCTTTGGTGTACCTCTCGGCCCCAGGACATGGGAGGTCACCTCAGGCACCAAAAGCGGCCTCTGCGGCGTTGTGCTTTTCAGATAGCAAAGGCTTCGACCAAATGGTAGCTGCTTCCGCTTGGAACGCAAGGGACTCCATAGGCCTCGCCCTAACCAAGCATTTGCAACCCGATTTGCATCCCGACATGGTCTCAATTTGCAAAGCCCTTTTTTTGGCTGGCATGACTCCAATGTGCAGTCTTCTTGTTGAAGCGCACATACACACACAGAGAGAGATGCGAGATCCTCTTAAACCCCTGAGTCATTCTCGAACCTGAGTGGGCTTGAAGCAATTGGGATTCGTTTGCGAGAATTTGGCGCTTTACCCTCCTCAGCATCTCGCCTTGTGAATCAAAAGCCAGGCAAACTGAACATCTCTTGGGCAGCTTGTCAATTGCACGTAGTTGTCGCGGAGAGAGCACGCAAATCGTTGAAGCAAGCAATGTTCTGCAATGGTCATTTCCAATCGTTGAAAGTCTGCGGGTCTCCTTCAGCAGTATTCAGCACCAGTATCAAGCGCCCCTGACGCCTTCGGTACCAGGCTGGGTGCTGAGTAAAGCATCACCTCATGTTGGCAACCCCATGCCCTATGCCCAACTGCCCAAATGCATGACCTCCAAAGCTCAAAGCCACCGCTTTTACAAATTTGCCGAAACTTCAGGGTTCTTCCTGGCGTGAGATGGGGGCTCCACCCTTCTACTTTGCCTATGCAGTCTGCGTGCGTCCTAACAGCCAATAGGGTCGCCAAGCAGCCATGTTTCGTTTGAAAGCAATCAGCCAGAACAAGTTTCAAGTTGTTGGCATCCAAATATGCAGATATATAAATCTAGACGGGCTTATTTAGGACTGTGAGTGTATTTGCCTCACATGTACTTTCATATGTAATTTGCACGCTTTTTGGATAGTCTTGTGTGGGAACTTTGCGCGACAAAGACACGTTTTTACCGCGCCTGCTTTTGTCGTTTGATATAAAACACATTGTAATTACGACTTCAGAACTGTTCCACTATTCCGAGGGTTTTCGTCGGATGGGACGGGATATAAACGTTCGGTTCAATTTGCACACCCATACATAAGAAACTCTTCTACGCTACGATACACAATGACTGACTGAGAGTGGGGTGGGGTGAAGTGGGATGGGTTGGGATGTTAACATTCGGTTCTATTTGCACAGCCATACAGAAGAAATTCTTCTACGCTACGCTACACTACACAATGCGACTGACTGAGAGTGGGGTGGGGTGGAGTGGGATGGGTGAAGGCTCTACGCGCACTGGGAACAAGCGTGTGCTGCTTGAAAGTGCGCTGCTTGATTGTGGATTCGGGTTGATGCGGAAGACTCGTCACGGCGTGTCAACTTCAGTTCACTATTTGTCTTCGTAAGAAAACGTATAAGCGTGTCAAAAACGTAGTCTTGTTCACAAACGTGTCACAGTCTTAAGTAAACACGGCGTGATGTGTATATATATATATATGCACCATGTATGTAACATGCATAGAGACTAAAGATGATTTGTTTGGAATTGAACATACTCAACCGGATGCACATCCAAGGGCGGTAGAATAGTTCTCTGTTCCAACCGTGTCTGTCTTGTCAAAGTCGCACACGCTGGAGACCCTTGAGCATCTGTTTCGATTTGCAGGGAGCATTCTACAGTGTGGTATGACTACGCCACCCTCATGTCAGGGGAATCCCGCGCCACCATACATTTGATCTGGGTTTGTGTGGACAAGGGACTAGCCCAAGTGCTTGTCGATGCATAGTGGTGATTGGCCTCTTCAGCTCACCAGAGAAAGGATAAGAGGTGCCTGGACACCCAATGAGAGCCTGGCAGTCCCAAAGTAAGCAAATGTTGATCCCGCTACTTGGTCCAAGAAACAAAGTCACTCAACGTTTGTTTCTGTGTCACTGCTTTCTACCTTCCAAGCCTGGCCAAATGCCACCAGTTGAACATCATTGTCAACGCTTTTGATAGGACCAGGTCCCGCAGCAAAGCAAAGCCGCGCATAGGGCACCTCTGGCGATGATTTGATGTTGTTCAATGGCGCATTACATTCAGTGTCAAATGTTTAGGTCAACTTTAGGCATACAGCTTTGTGAGGAACTATATTCTACGGCCAGTTTCTACTGATCAGCCGTGACAACGTTTGAGTGAGTCACAAAAGCGGCCACTCGCGCTTTTCTATGCTCTCGAGCCACTGTGCATACGATCATGGAAGGATGTCATGACACTGTACTCTCATTTGACACCCCGCCTCAGAACATGCTATGTTTAGCCTGTTCACAAAAGCGTGCATTTCAGCCATCGTTTCCTTCGTCTTGATCTCTTCGTGGCATTGCCTTAGCCGAAGCCACTCTGACAGCTGAGCTTCCTGGAGGTGGATCCCATGGTCCATCAAACTCGGTATCTTCCATCAAGTTTCTCTGAAACCATCCATCTGGATCTTCACTCTCCTCAAGTCTCGATGCAACACCGTCGTCTGTTGCACCTTCCTCTTCTCCACTCTCATTCTCACATTCTGAATTCACGGCTACGTTAGCCTCTGCGCCAGCATCTGTCGCATTCTCTTCAAAGAATTCGTGCGGCCTGCCAGCTTCACACCACTTGTGAAAAACAACCGAAGCTGCCATGTAGGCTCTTGGATCATCTGCCTGAAACAACTTCACAAGATGAAACAAGTACGACCATGTTCTGCGACACTGACTCAACTGCGGAATTGCTGGTGGAAAAGTCTGCGCTTCCCTTTCCAATAATCTCACGCGCTCTCTCAATGATCTGCACACTTGAGCAACTTCAGCTTCTGGTCCTCCTGATGTCACTCTGAGCTCATCACGCCACTGCTGAAATTCTCTTGGTATTGCTGGAATACCAGCGCAACCGAAGCTCAACATCAACTCTCTTGAACCTGGTACTCACCAGTAGTCAACGTCCAACAAATCTCCTTGGTCTCTCTGACTCTATTCACGGCCTTGTTGAATCAATGTGCCTGCAACCATATCTGAAATGCTTCCATGGGCTTCAACTTCTGGATTGTCATGTCCAGCTGATGAACTAGCCGGATGTTCGACTGTCTCTTCTCTCACGGCCTGTTGTTCTTCCTCCTCCTCAACATCTTCAAATCGCTCTTCTTCTTCACCTTCCATCTGCACTCGACCGTGATATCGAAGAAACTGAGTCCATGCTTTGGGGCTATCCTCCTCTTCTGTGAATTCGGCTTCTGCCATGTCTGAACCTCTCTTGCCCCATAGCGCTGCTTCATCAACTCCTCCGCCTGAGCTCCCAGCACTATTCTGTTGTGGCTCATTCACATTCTCACAGCCACTATTCTCATCTTCTCTCTCCTTCGTCTCCATGGTAAGGAGTACTGGTGGTAGTGTGGCGCATATATCCTGAAAATGGGTCGTCACCATTGTCATGGTCTTCATCGTCATCTCCTCCTCCTGTCTCACGGCTTGTGCTTCCTATGGGACGTCTTCGTCTTTGGTTTCTCACCAACTCACTCTGAAGATCTTCTAATGCGTCCTTGTACTTGAACAACTGTCTCCTTCTGTGGTTGATGTGACAAATGGACACGCTCAACATCACAACCAACACCACAATCAAACTTGTGAGCATTGCCAAGCTGAAGGCTTGATGCCCTACTGTCTCTTCAAACCCTTTCTAGCTCATGCAACTGCCTGCCTCTTCACCACATCCTTTCAAGAAACCTGCAGCTGCTAGCAAATGAATGAATTATTCGCTCTCTGAAAGTGTTGCTGCGCAAACCAATGAGCTGTTCAAGAAACTCTCGACGTTTTCTGCTCAAGCTCTTTGTGTTGAGGTCTGCAGGATTGTTCTGCGTACTAATCCTGGCAACTTTGAACCACTGTTTCCTCATGGCACTCTGTCCCCATAGGATCCTTGCGCACAAATGTTTTGCTCGTCCTGGACCTAATCTCTGGAAGAATGCCTGAGCCGAGGTGGATTCCATGTACAACTTCATCTCTACTTCTTCTTCTTTGCAACCAAGATCTTGTTTGCAGCTCAACAGGACGAATTGTAATGCCTGCTTCAAGCATATACCCTCTGCTAGCAATCCCGTCGCTGCCAACACCTCCGCTTCCATTGACGACAATGCTATGGAAGCTTGTGCTCTTGAATGCGAGTGGACGCCATGTCCATTCAAGAAGATCAACCCAGCACTCGTCTCACCTTCGACGTCGCCCAATCAGAAACTGAGAACAACTCTATGTTGAAAGATCTCTTGAGACACGGACCTTCATTGGTCAAATGATGCCACCTGCTGAACACGTTGCTCCTGAACGCTGTCCTCTCAAATCTCACGCACATGTCTCCTGTCCATTTGAGGCAAGAAGCTAACTTCTTCAAAGCGTTCATCGAGTTCTTCGTGGGGTTCGCTGAACAGCAAACTGAACGTCTGATCGCTCCTGACTGGTGTACAAGCATATCCCCAACGCTGATCTGAAAATCTTTGCCTCCTCTTTAAACAACACTTCTTCTTCTTTCACTGAATTTCGACTGTACACGCCAAGCGTGGAGTGGGTAGGAATTGTCCTTGTGCGTTTATCCTGAAGATTCAACAAACTCACCAGCTTTGGAATGTACTTGGGGTTCACGCTGACCTCAATGCCTTCACTACCAAAGCTGATCTGCCGCTTCAAGTAGTACAAAGCACCGGGCTTCTCCATGCCAAACGGTCCTTCTGACTTGAGTGTCAAAATCTTCTCAAAAGTGTTCCTTGAACCTTTGATGCTCACTCTCTGTTGCCACCAACACAATGTCATCGATGTAACAGACAAGTATTGGCCACCGTCTTTGCGCCTAAACAAAGTACCACCTTGGTAGGCTTCGAATCCGTAGTCCTCACAAAGCTTTGCAAAGTGCTTGTTCCACTCTAGCGCTGCTGCTCTTTGTCCTGGCAAGCATTTGCACAATCTCCAGTACAGTAACGTCGGATCCTGCACTGCTTCTCTCACCCATTCTGGAACCTGCACGATGACAAAGTCTCTTTGCGGCACTTGTAGGAAAGCATCACTCACGTCATAGACCGAAACCGTGAGATTCTGCAAAATGGAAAGCCGAAACAACATCTTGGTGTAAGCGAGAGG